AATTACCAATAAAATCCATGCCCTGATTTCCTACGATTGTTTCTTTTCTTCTTTTTAAAAAATAAAAATAACAATACATTTAAAATGAATAAATCAATTATTCAATATATATTGAAATCCAGGCTTGAAAATAGTTTGTAAATAAGCAAAGCCTTAAAAACGAATAACCCAATAATTAATTTTGTGGTTATTTGAGTTATTAAATATTCTATTAAAAAATCTATTATTTGATTTGACCAATCGTTCTGTCTAATAGGAAAATTGATCTATTTATTTAGCAACGCCTTTTCTAATTTTAACCTTGCCATCATAATTACGTGATATTTCGTAAAATTGGAGTCGAAAGATATAAAGAAAATTAAATAAAGTAAATTATTAACATGTGAAGATGGAAAGTCGCTTTCCAACTTCCAGAAGTTCGAAGCTAATAAATATTCTTTTTATATGCAACAATTATTGAAATTGTCTGATAAAACAAAAAAGAAAGAAAAGGTTGTTTAATCAATTATGATGTTAATTATTTTTAGACAGAATGAGAAACGGTCAAAAGATTTATTCAAATTGTTAATCTAATCTTGATTAGAAAATTAATACCATATTTTAGGGTTCAAAAATAATTCCAAAATAACTTCTATATACAATGTACCTACATGTTTTAATAGTAACAAATTTGTTGATTTTGAAAAATTTTGGTATGATTTGTCCTTATTTGCGTTGTTTTCTTCCTATCAAACAGAAAACGTTATAGATGTTCAATAGCCCTGAAACGTGTGTATAAATTCGTTGTTCTGGCAAAAAGAATAGAAAAACAATATAAAAAAATTACCAAAAACTACAGGTTGCAGGAATGGATCACACTTGATTACAATTTATTTTTTGTATTATAGTATTACGTTTGCGTTGCTTGCCATACATTGAGGAACTTTCGGAAAAAGTAGGTAAAATTCTTAACTAGAATGATTTAGAGTAGCTTTCAGAAGTGCGAGCTCACTTAGAAACATCCTCTCAAAACCTAAAGACAAGGATGACAACTTGTCATAAAGCGAAGTTTATAATCTTTACTTGTAATGATTGCGATATCAAATTGTTCAATATAAGACAAAGTGCAAGGAGATTAAAAAGAATACTTGCAGGATCATCTAAATGATACAAAGCACGACTTTAATTTAAATTTAAACACAACACTGTGAGAACTATCTTTTACAAAAAGTTACAGTATCGTTTTCTGGGTTCTGCCTACTGCTCCTCTTCAGTGAATAGTCTACAGGTTATTGTAGTTTTAGTGGAAGCAACTTGCATTAAAAAAAAAACATGGTAAAAAGCGTATTGTCATTATCATAAATCTCCAAATAACATATTTTGTTGCTTTGTTGCTCAAAAACAAAGAACCGTTAATTGTTCGTCGTTACAAAAATGACAGTATGTCCTTGTCATAAAAATAAATAATAAGTACAGGGGTTTTCGTGGGAATAAGCATCTTTTGGCTGTCGGATGCATGATAGTTGGGAAATGTCATTCAAAACTGTTTTTTTACAAAAAGCCCATATTTTGTTAGAATCAACTGTCGATCATATTCATATGAGAAAGGGCCTAAACATAAGGTTAGCATATTGGTGTGGTTGCCTGTTGAAACCTATATTGTAAGGGGCGAAACTGAAAAACTTCTTCTAACTGTTTTACTTTTACTTTTATAATATTTGCACCATAAAGACCACACTATACAATTATGGTCCAATGTAGGTCTCACAATGATACAGTTCACTTTCAAGACCAGTTCTTTATCCTCGAAATATTTTTTCATTGCCAAGCCTAACATTTTTTTACTTTCATTCACAACGGTTGAGCTATATTAATGTTTTAATCAAAGTACAAACTTAAGTCTTTTATCCCACATTCTCGTTTTATAGGAAACCTATTTAATAAACATATAAAATAAATATCACGGTTTATTCTACTAAAGCTGAGTAGTTTACATTTGGATAAATTCAGGAACCGACATAAGATTATACTTTCATCAAGTAACAACGTAAAATATGTTGGAATTTGAATTAAATTTATTTATTTATATTTATTAGAAGTTTTAATAAACTTTTATCAGCATTGGTATGGTATGGTATGGTGGAAAAGGATACTAGGAAGCGGGGTTTGTATTCCCCAGGCACTGCAGCCTTCTGGCTTATTGTACCTTCCTAGTTCCTTAGTTCAGTCAATAGACTCAATCCTTCTTCTTAGAAGTATCAGGTCATTGACTGTCGCTGCTGCAATTTGATTCCCTAAGTTTTTTCCATAATTTAGGTTAAATCTCCAATGAGCTGTTGCTTCGCATTCGAAGATGATATGAGTGGATGTTTCCTCCTCCTCATTACATAATCTGCAAATGGGATCGCTTTATATACCCATGTTGGGTAGATGTTTTCTCAGATGACAGTGACGGGTTAGTAGCCCTATCACTCCTCTGAGTTTCCAATTGCAGCAGTGCTTTTGCCAGTTTCGGTGAGGGTTGTTTCATCATAAGTTTATTATGTCTAGCACCGCTAGAGTTTATCCACTTCTTTTGTTTTGCATGGATCCATTCTGCGATGGAGGATTCCATATTTGTCTTTGTTATCCCAAGAATAGGTTCGGGGCCTATGTATGGTCTTGCAGATCCTCCTTTGGCCAGTCTGTCTGCTTTCTCGTTACCAGAAATTCCCCGGTGCCTGGCACCCAAGATATCATCAGGTTGTTGTGTTTCCCCAGGTTTTGGAGATTTTGGATGCATTCACTGACTAATTTTGATGTGATTCTTTTACATGCTAATGCTTTAATAGCTGCTTGGCTATCTGATCTTATGAGGATTTTTTTCAGTGTAACTTCTTTTAAGATTTTCCAGGGCATAAGCATTGATGGCTGCATTTCTGCTTGAAAGACCGAAGTGTACTTCCCTAATGAGTTTGATTGCTCATGTTTTGGGCTTGTACAGAAAACGCCTGATCCAGTTCCTTCGTTTGCTTTGGAGCCATCTGTGTACCATATCATTGTATCTGATCCTCTCCTTTATAGTCCGTTGAGACTTTATAGGAAGTTGTGAAGATTGTTTCCGGGATCATGTAGTCAGTCCCCATTTCTAATAATAGGTGTCTGATTTTGATGATTATGGTTGTATGCCCGAATTGTTTAGTTCCTTTTCAATTTAATTATTTTTGGAGCCTAAGTGAGCTTCTCCTAGCCTCTCCTTTTATAAATATTTCCAGTGGAGGTAGGTTTAGCAAAGTTTCTAATGCGTTTGTAGGGGTTGTTCTCATTGCCCCTGTGATACATAGGTTTTCTAGTCTTTGTATGTTGCCTAATGGGTAGCTACTTTTTGTTGACCTTTGTTCCACCAGATTTTATCAGCATTACAATTAAATATCACACTTTTGCTTTCCAAATAATTATAGGTGCTTCAATATCCTTGAATTGTACAAAGGCGGCGAAATTTTCTTGACTAAAAGTAAAAGAAATAGAGTAAAGAAATAAATACTAAATTGTTACTTTCCAAATAATTCTTGTTGTTTAAAAGCGATGTATCGTTGGATTGTTCAATGCAGTGGTATTTCTTGACAAATAGGAAAAGAAATAAAGTAAAAAATCATGTTTTTCCATGAGAATAATCATCTTACGACTTGCTAAATCAAAGTTGAATCTCACATCTCGATAGAAAATAAAAACCAAATTGTCCCGCTTTCCAAATAATGCTTTTTGTTTGAAAGTGAAGTATCGTTGGAGGGTTCAAAGGCGACGAAATTTTCTAGACAAAAAGAACAAAAATCAAGTAAAGAGGAATATTTTTTCACGAGAATGTAAATTTTACGTCTTGCTAAATCAAAATTGCATCTCACATCTCGATAAAAAAATTATGTTACTTTCCAAATAATTCTTGTTGTTTAAAAGCGATGTTTCGTTGAATTGTTCAAAGGCAATGACATTTCTTGACAAAAAGAAAAAAAAAAGTAAAAAGTCGTTTTTCCATGAGAATATACGTCTTACGACTTGCTATATCAAAATTGTAACTCACATCTCGATAAAAAAAATTATGTTACTTTCCAAATAATTATTGTTGTTAAAAAAGATGTATCGTTGGATTGTTCAAAGGCGACGAAATTTTCTTTACAAAAAAAAAATTATAAAGTAAAGAAGCACATTTTTCCATGATAATGTAAATTTTACTTCTCTAATTATGATATAGAAATTGAATCTCACATCTCGATAGAAAATAAATACAAAATTCTTAGTTTCCAAATAATTATTGTTGTTTAAAAGCGATGTATTGTTGTATTGTTGTATTGTGTACGGATTGTTCAAAGGCGATGACATTTCTTGACAAAAAGAAAAAGAAATAAAGTAAAAAGTCATATTTTTCATGAGGATGTACATACATCTTAGGACTTTTTAAAACAAAATTTAACTCACCTCTCGATAGAAAATAAATACCAAATAAATTGTGTTGCTTTTTAAATTCTTCTAAATAATTCGTTGTTTAAAAGTGATATACCGTTTGTATGTTCAAGGGCGTCGACATTTTCTTGGCAAAAGAAAAAGGAATAAAGTAAAGATGCATATTTTTTCAATGAGAATATAAATTTTACGACTCGCTAAAACAAAATTGTAACTCACATCTCAATAAAAAATAAATACCAAATTGTGTAGCGTTCTAAATAACTCGTCGTGTACAAAACTATCGAAACGTCTGTAAAGGCAATAGAAATTTCCTTAGAAAAGGAATGTACAGATAGAAATGCAGTTTCCTCTGACAAAACCTGGAGAGCCAAGTCAATCAAATCAATCGGCATCGACGACTCTTTTTTTTATCCCTTCAATGTGAATCTTGAGAAACCAATTTTGAAAGTGTTCGGGGCATAAAACGTACGAAACACGTGACAAAAGCACGTTGTAAAATTTAATAAAAAAAACAGTTTCGACATAATAAACTGGAAGGGGGTTGATGGAGGGAGTTCTTGTGGAGGGGAAGGGAACTCTTGTAGCCGTACAGCGAGGATGGTGTCAGTAGCCATGATGCCACCACTGACGGCGCTCCTTCTAGGCGTCATATCCCTCACGACGACTATCCGTAAGTATTAATTTAAACAAAAAGAGACAAAGATTTCCTTAGAAATGCCGAAAAAATCAGAGGGATTCGAAACGGGCCAAAGTGGTGAAAGAACTGCCCATGTACGACTGTGAGGTGAACACAAGTGGCAAGATATAACTCCAATCGAGATTTTTTGACTAATTGTGATAAAACCGGTTTTATTTGGACATGAGCCGGATTGTGATTAGTGTTTCCGCGAGTTTGGCGCACTTTCACTATAAGCTGATACTCGTTTTTAAATTAATTTATATTACACACCTTTTTTTGAAACACCCTACTTCATCCACACCGTCAAATTTGACTCGCTCTAGAAAGCCACATTTGCAAGTGAAATAGTATTGACCCGAATAAAATGCTCGCGCGGATTCTGTGCTTTTCGGCGGAGGAGTCTCTCGGGCCGAACAGCAATGCCCTAGTGATCCGAATACCTAAGAAATACATACCTCAGGACGACTTGTAATTATAGTTGGGTCTCGTGCATTATTCTGACATGGTTCGGTTTCGAAAACGCCTCATGTTCCTTGACAGATTTTCCATTCGAGGAGAGGCGACTTTCGAACAGGATCAATTCTATTTTCGACCTGTCAAAAAGACAGTGACAGCTGAGATGGTACGTGAGTGAAGTTGGCCTAAGCTTCGCGATCTGGCAGTAGCAGTTTTTCAAATAAAAAGAAAATGAAAGGGGTTCCTTCAGTTATGTTCTTCCTTTGAACATAAACCACTCTCTCAATTAAATTGCTCTATTAACTACGAGTTAAGGTATCATCGAGATAGACGGAACAATCATTGTTATAAGACTTCTTCGTGAGGTCTGCGGGGTGATGAACCTTCAGTTCAACCGTCGTTAGACCAGAAAGATCGGAAACGATCAAAATAACATCATTACGGGCCGCGGTAGCCGAGTGGTTAAGGCGTCAGACTCTCGGCTAGTAGATCCCGCGGTCGTGGGTTCGATCCCCACTGTCGCCTCTGGACTTTTTCTGACGCCTAAGGGGACCGGTGGCCGCAATAGAAAGAAACTGACACGGCACTCATCAATGGAAGGGGCGGGATCGGAACTCAGTGACCCTGAATTTGGTCCCAACCCCCTTCAAAAATGAGTTTCTTCGATGGAAGAACACCGGTACAACGGGGGCTCAAGTTCACATTTGTGTTGCGAGCCCTCTCCCAAAATATGGATAAAGTACAATAAGCTGTACAGCTCAGCTGCATTCTCAGGAGGGAACTCCTCCAGGCCCTGGTATCAAAATAAAAAATAATAATAATAATAAAACATCATTACTGTTACATAAACAAAAAGACATTTATTTCTAATTCGGTGAGATCGCTCTGGACCATCTTCAACCTTAATAGACTTTGATCATACCTCACGAACCTGCCTGACTGCCTTTACATATATTGTAGGTGTAAACATACAAAAATAATGCCTGTAATAATGTATTTCAATTATAATTCAAAAAAGAAGAATGTAATTGTGGTCTAACGCGCTTTACGGTCTACAGTTGCAAAAAAATCAAATTTAAAATTTTGATGCGAAATTGGCTAAGTTTTGTCAAGTCAACCTAACTTTCTGTAGAAGTTGTGATTATCCACGTAACCTCTTTATTAGGCCAGTTATTTGACTAATAATTTAGTACTTTTACAAAACTTCTGACCAGATCGTTCATGATACAATTTTTTTCCTTTAACGTCAAATTTTCAATTGAGCTTACATGACCGTATGGACCACCCCCAGCTCTTCACAGCTGATGGAACTGAAAAACTTGATACTTTGTGGCACAATTTCTCGTCAATTTTCGTGACTTAGTATCATTTTGGTTTAAATGTTATATATCTCTTATAATCTAATTTATTATTTAGCGTATAAAATGCCAGTGACACCAAAATAATACATATATTTTCTATTGTATGTCAATTTTTATGGTAGAAAAGTGTGCCTAGCAAATTTGATGGTTTGTTGTTTATTTTTTTACAGTCATTAGTGTTATAAAAATTAGAATTAAAATCACCATTTTCATGAGATGATGTAAGATGATGGAGTCTGGAAAAGTCTTGAGCATTCTGAATTTATTAGTGTAGGTTCATTATTGTGGAAAGAGTGTTACCCAATTGAATTAATTTATCAATCATTAGATCTTTTATTTGTTTTTAGATGGCTTTGCGAGTTAATTATGGCAGCTAGCCAACTGTCGGACGTAATAGCGCAAACGTGCATAGCTTGTAAGAAGAACGTGCATGCCATGCATCTTCTAGTTGAATAACATAACACTTCTGTTTGAAAGGAAAAATATTCGTTGACAATTTTATATTTTCCTGGTCGTATCTTATTATTGTAATGTGGGAATCCGAAGCAGGTTCTGGCGGTGAAGTGGTATGCCCGTTAATGTCAGGCCTTCTCAAAAAGACGTCCATCCAGTAGCTGCAGATCGGTTTCTGCCGATTTGTGGATGTTAACTCATCCGAGGGGTAACGGTTCCAAGGGGGAAGGCGCTAAGCCCGGATGCGGACCTAATTTTCGTGTCATTTCGGGGGCGCCGATTGGAGGGGCGCCACAAGAACTGGAGTACCGTTGGCGTAGCGGACCAAGCAGGCCCAAGGTCAATATATATGCCCTATCTATATATAGAATCCAGCTGAGCAGGCCTATTATCAATACTAGTGATCCCACCGTAAAATAAATTATCATTGATCGTAAACACGGTAGTGGAAGGGTGTAAAACGGGGTCTCAGGAGCAAATCGGCTGAAGGACTGACCGCTTTCCGCCACCGAGGCCCACTTCCGACACGCATCACGTTAAACTGCAGAACCTTCGGTTCCAGTCGTTCGACTGTGACCAGAGTTCATCTTTAATCATAAATAATTCAAATGACACTCATACTAAACTGTAAGAGTACAAACTATTTAATTTCTTTGCAAAATACGAAGTTGAAAAACAAAGTCATTCACAATGCCCATATTAAAGCTTCAGACTGGTTTAGCTTAGCTGTCATCATTCATCTTGCTATAGAGAACGCTGTAATGCGTCAGCCGACCAGTACACTGGTAGAATCACCACTTTCTTATAAATTTCTTCATTAACTATTCAAGACTTCTGAAATATCGAAAGAAGAGGAGAAGAACATCCAATTTAAATTTCAGTATTAAAGAATGTGGAAAAAAATATAGGCACTTTCTAGTCAGAAACGATTTTTACAACTACTCCATTTCAATTGAGAGTCATTGAACTATTGGATAATTTTTTCCTCTCGTACGGTCCCTCAAGTCTCGTTCTTTAAGATAAAATACTTTTAGAATCAAATATTCACATTTTCTTCAACCAATCGTGTCAGTGATTTTTCTGATCTATGTGGATAAACGGAACCTTTGTTTAGGTATCAGAACACACAGGGCAGAAGGGCAACCGGCAAAAATAAATTGGCCAGGGTACTTCAATCAGGTCACCTATTGGTCCTGAATCCTTTTGCGATGTACCAAATTGCCAGGCATTGGAAGCCTAACTACTAAGAGAGTATAATTAATTAGGACTTTTATCGGCCCTGAAACATTTTGCGACATACCGAATTGCCAAAATCGTCGATACATCGGACAATGTGTTAAGAATGTAATCCAGGATTGCAGCCTTTGAAAATGTTCATTGCAGGACCGCAGAAAATAACAGCAGAATTACCAAACCTAGGGAGTTTCAGGAGTAGAATTATAGTAGGACTCAGAGCCTCGTCGATAGAAAAGTCAAGAAACAATTTGGATTGCATCAAGACAATGTCAGGCATTGGGTGCAACGATGAGACCGATAAACTGTCTAATAATAATTAATCAGGACACCTATCGACCCTGAACCCTGTTGGGACATACAAACTGTCAAATACAGATCCATGACACAATGGGTTAAAAACTGGTTAAGAAGAAATGTACGAGTATCAATGGGATTGCTTCTCCAGGACAGAAGAAAAAGCTATTTAAAAGACGTCGTAGAGTCTAACTGCATAACTACTCTACCTAGGGCATTTTAGGAGTAGGATGATAGTAGAACTACTGACTTGGCCCGGTGAATCTTGCGGATATGTATAGACACAGAGCAGCAAAACAAATATGAGCATTTATTGCCAGGGAAAAGAAGAAGAAACAGGGGAACATGTCATACTTTGTACTAGTCTTGGTGCGAAGGCCTATTTAGGAAGAAATAACTAAATCTAACGGATACATCCGGCTTGCATGAATGTTTTTGCACAAGGAAGTTTGAACATGTTTGACTACTCTGGTCCGCTGGGTCCCCCTATCTTATGTCATACTCGATGAAGACAAGTACTTGCTTGGATATACGTATTCACTTTAATTTAATCTATAGTTGTTTGGGCCTATAGGATTCTTTAAAAAAAACTTTATGATCTGGTAAAAAGCTTTACGCTTAAAGAAGAGCTCTAGTCTGATAGAGATTTCACAATAGACCAATATTGGTCGGGGTGCGTGAGGTCGTAAAGAGATGTCAACACATTTAACCTTTAAACTTTACGTACTTTGTAAATTAATAATATGTTGTGTGTTTTTACTTGCATTTTACTTACATTTCAACTTTGGTACCTGTGAACGTTTTCAAGTTTAACTGCTTGTCTCACAGTCTCGGATAATTTTGTTATACTGTTGTACAGGAAGAAATTTAGCTTGCAGAGAATTTTTTCCATGTGTAAAACATATACACTGATGGAGAAAATGTACGTGCCACCCTTAAATTTTACTGTATTTGGGTTAATTCTTACCAAAAATAGGTTTGGTTGTGAAAATAAGATTCATCGTTTAGTTGGTCCCGTGTTCCATTGAGTTCACCTGGACTTTGAGTTGGACAAACGAAGCATTCATTTCCAACCTCATTCAGGTAGTCAACCACAATACGTGTTCCATAGGACCTGGCATTATCCTGCATCAGTAAGAATATGTCACTGAAATGGCACTAAATTTTCTTCGATTATGTCTTGTAAGTACCTCTATGAGGTTAGAGATCTTCTTCTCATAACAACCACCAATTCGGTGCGGCCGTCTAAAGAAGTGACACCCCAGAGAATCAATGACCCACCGTGGAATGCCACCTGTGGAACCATACAGCATGGGGCGTACCTTTCTCCTTATCGACTCTATATGAAATTACGCCCATCTGAAGATTTGAGGCCAACTCTCACCTCATCTGTAAAGAGAACTCGTCCCCAATCTTCCAATGTCCAATTCACATGTTCCCCGTAGTAATTGAAGCCTGGCCATTTTCTGAGCTGTGGTAAGAAGAGGTCCACGAGCCGGATTATTTAGCACTGGGTTATTTTCATTGAGCCTTCTTTTTACAGTCCTGGAGAAAATCGAAACATTTCGAACTTGTCTTACCAGATTTATTATCTAATTCCCGTAATGCTGTGGATTCGTAGAGTAAGATGGCTGATTAATCTATCGTCTCTTTCATTTGTAGACCTAGGTCGACCCTATCTAGTGCCTTCTAGGTGAAGCCCTATTCCTCTGATGCGCTGAAGAACTTTCCTATTGTAGAGTTATTTATCCTCAGACCTAGCGACTTCGTGCAGGCTGTATCCTTCCTCTAATAATTTTATGAGCCTGACACTGTCATATTCACTCAAATGCCAGCCACTGAATAACGAAATCAACGAAGAAAAAAGATTAACTGAAAGCAGCAAGACAGCAGAATAGAAAGGCATAATGCTACTTAATGTACAAAAGTAAACAAAGGAAGTAAACAAACCATTATTTACTGTTTATTTTGACGACGATAGCTCCTAATTACATATAACTAATGAAGAAAGATAATGGATTTAATTTTAAATTAAATAACTAGTGTTGCGTTAAATTTGTCCAAGTATGAAAAAATGAATAGAATTCATAATAGAAAAAATAGTTCTAAATGGTTAAGAAAGCAGACTTAAAAGAAAGTAGTTGTCCGTTAACGAGATAAAAGGAGGTTCTAAATGATTTCACGCTTGTAGCCAATGGAGCACAACTAGGAAGTGGATTATTACAAAAATGTAGGATTTTCCTTAATCTTTTTTTAAAACTTCTTGAATAAGATTTATTTGTTTAAAAAATGTTCACCCCATCGTGTTTATTTAGTTGACTGGATCAGAAATCCGGCCGACTTAGCACCCTAATTGTTTCACGCTCTTGACGGGCCAGCCGAGCACAAAATGTTTTCTCGCTTTCACTGCCTTTTTTGAAAATTGTGTCAACCAAACAATTTAATGCCAAGGTTAAAAGGAGGTCTATTTTCAGAAACGCTCTTTTTAATTGCCATGGCGATAAATTTACACGATTAACAACCCCGAGGAAGAAAGTTTTTTTTTTTTTAATAGTACACTCCGCGGTTCGAATCTTCTGATCTTATGATCCTGAAAAATCAGTCAGAAAACATTGATTTATGAAAAAATATTTTGTTTGTTTTAGATGGTACTGAGGGAGCAGTCGAATACTATGGAAAGTTTCTAGGACATCTTTCCCGGCTGATGCACTCTGTCAGCGGGGATGTCTACGCCGTCGACGTAAGGACTTTACATATTAGAGATTTCACATACGACGGAGCAGGGCCAGGTAAGAATCTTTTATATCAACTAATATTTAATTAAAATATTGCTTGGAAAAAAAACTGACAAAACCAATATTTCGATGGAAGTTATTAAAATACTTTCAAAAATAAAAATGTATTTGATAAAAAGCTATTTATTTTAACCAAAGATGGCAAATTGAACATCCGTACAAAAAAGAAAAATTCATACATTTTTTTTATATTTTAGTGGCTGAAATTAAATCAGCGGTAAACGTCGTCTAAAGGATAACGTTTAGCCTGAAAGGCTGATTTTCTCTAGCTAATTAATGATTTATCCACAAAACATTTCTTTCTCATTTTCTCCACTTCTTTATGAGGTAATATTACCATAAAGTAATAATAATAAAATAAAAGATAGATCGACGAAAGAGGACAAAATTAACCAAATCAGCAGTAATTTTTGTTCACGGTATAACGTCAAATTTGAAAGCCAGCGTTTTTCTGATCTCAATTAATTATTTATAAACGAAATTCCCCTATAATTTATCTGTATAACCTCATTATAACATGATATAGTAATAAAGTTCAATAATAAGACTACATCAATAGAAATCCTTGGACGAATTGACTAAAATTAAATCAGTAGTGAAGTTCGTCCTGAAAGGCAGAGTTTTCTAAACATAGATAATTATTTATTAACAAAGTTACCTACATTTTATCTGTAACACTTTTTATAGTATGATATAACAATAAAAATCAGCAATAAATTATAAATCAATAATAAGCATTGTCTGAAACAGAACTGTACCAATAATATAATACGTTATACACAGTTTGACGGTTAATATGGTAAATAATCTACATTGTATTTTATTAGTAAATTTATTGATAGTCATAAAATATAAACACTTAGCCCATTAAGACTTAAAAAAAAGCAAAACCTGCCAAATCCTCCAACCAAACCAGATACAGTTTGTAACGTTTATCTTATAAGAATGCATAATAATAGACTAAATAAAGCATAATTTTTTTTAATAAATTGAACATTTGACATATTAATTTACACTAATTTACTCTTCTAAATTTAGCATTAATACAAAAACCTAATTAACTTATAACCTACAAACCAGAGCAGTGTATCGCTGCGTTAAATTTTCCTATTTTTGCAAACGAGAAAGGTTACGTATATTAAACATTAAATATCAGTAAATACTGAGAGATCAGGATGACACCATTAGGTAAAAAACAACAAATTATTTTAGGATGTCGAGCTTTCGGTCTTCTTTGTCGCATTCCTCAAGACTCTATTTAATAAAGAAATTAAAAATACACATTACAAATGTAAAACTTTATAGCTGTTTAACAGACTTACTTGAAAACCCATTTTAATAAGTTATGTTTACATATAAGAACAGTTTCATTTCATTATATTCATAATTAATCCACAATATAATATATTCCATCATACATTAACTGCTCATAACGATGTAAGAACGAGAGATCGCGTTGATGCATGCACATAACATTGTTCCATTAATTTTTAACGCAAGTAGGTTCTGTTTTTCTTCTTTTTATTTTTTAATTTCACTTTTTACAGTCACAAAATAGAATCAGGGTTATAATTATTGCATTTCGAACAAGGGCGCTTGTTTTTAGCCTGACACGTGAAAGCTGATCGTTCTGGTTTTACAATTCTCTCTTCTCCAGGCTAGAATTTCTTCCGTTGTACACCGGAGAAACGAGAAATCTTAAAAAGGAGAAGAACAAATAACGAATAAGCTCTCATTAAGATTTTCATAAAGCTTAAGGAGAAAATATATTTATGAAAAATTAATGTTAGACTTTTGAAAATATCTTTATCTTTGTACGTATAAATTCAAACAAACGAGCTTCGAAACTTACTTTTTCTTTTTTTGATTAATAATTTATCAATAAATATAGAAGTCAGATACTTAGGCTAGGGTCTACAGTCAGTATTGTGACTGGAAAAAAATCATATTCGCACAAAGATCATATTTGTAATACGTATTGATGTCTACTATCTACAAATATAATTATTAATTAAAAAATGTCATTTGATTCTTTAAATATGGTGTTAAAAGCTTAATAATATATATTTATGTATGATATTAGCAATACCAAGAATATTTTATTATTAATATATAATTATTTATAAATTTTTAAGGATGGCCTTTCTTGACATGTCACACAAGCTTTTGACTGCGTGTGACATGAACGCCTCCTGGACAAACTAATGCGCACACTTCCCTATACCCTTCATTCCCACTTAACCGAATGATTCTTCATAGTCCAAGGATTGGCATACTCCCACTATCATCCTAGGGGAGCGGGAGTACCTCAGGGCAGCGCAATTGGACAGGTCATTTACCTCTATACCGCAGATATCCGTACTTCATTCTGCACCATTCTTTCGTCCTTTACCGAAGAACAGCTGTAATCTGATCCCGATCCCATAATTGCTTCCGAGGAACTCCAGGCACATGATTTGAAAATAACACAATGGGGCAAGCGCTGGTGTATAAAGCTTAATGAAAGAAAAAACACCCATGTAACATTCACCCTTTGAAGCAAAGCCCCTCATGCAATATTCCTGAATAATTCCCATTCCAAAAACAGACTGCGTTCGCTACCTTGGGGTTCATTTAGACTCAAGACTAACCTGGAACCAAACACGCGACTAAAAGAAACGTTTCGGAGTACTGTATAGGCTACCGGCACGCAAATCTAACGTTTCAACTAAAAACAAACTTACAGTCTACAAGTCAATACTAAAGCCAATCTGGACGCACACTAAGAACGGTGGGGCCCCGCTAAACCTTCCAACATCCAAAGTTCTCAGAACCAAAAATAACCTCAAAATCCGACTTGTGTAAAAAAAGGTTACAGATTGAAATAAATTTAAAAAGAAATAAATAAAATAATGAAATAAATGTATCTGCAGTGGTATGAAATGTGTAACTCACTCTCTCTATCCACCCGTTAAAATCTACCTCTGTCAGCTTAAAGAAGATAATAAAATATTACGTGCATTTCGTGTTTTTCTATTTATAGAATTGGAAATTGAAATTTCAATTGTCAAAAATCACTTAATATGGAATTTGCTTAAAACCCTATTTCTTTATTTCTTTTAAATACTCAATGGAAGGATAAAAGAAAAATTGCCAAATTGGTTGAGGAGGAACTTGGAGAAGCTCGAAAAGAAAATCTTCGTTCAATAAATCATAATTCCCAAATAAAACAAAATAAACACACAAAATAAAGGTTACAGGTTTAGCAAGACGTCAAAAATTAAGATAACAACTCACAAATTTGTAAGGGCAAAATCAACGTGATATTAAATTATCTAGATACATAGGGAGGTTTTATTTATCTATCTTACATTTTATGCAACTCATTTGGTTAAAATTCTTCATTTAAAAAAGGATGGATGCATTAAGTCTGGGTTTTTTTAATTGTTCTGGTCGGGCTTTACGAACGAATAGCACTTCGTTTTAAATTTGTAGAAATTAAACGTTATAAATGATGTATGTTACCTGTTGTAATTTGTGCATTTATGAGTTTTTTAATATTGAATGTTTGTACTTTCTTAAGTTTTGGAGTATATTCATTTTTGCCCTTTTTGTACTTGTCGTAGAATAGTGTCAGGCTTGTATGTATTGTTTCGCGCAGTTTGATTATCTATCGTTCCTAAATGTTCTTACCTCTTCTTTGTATTAGTTTTTTTTATTTTTTGGCGTGTGTATCGGTGGGGCTGATTTAGTCGGCTTGTATCTCGGTCCCTACTGATTTTCAAAATTGATCAGCCAACCATCCTTCCTGTACTCCTTTATAATTATAATATTTATTATATTATTATATTTATAATTTTCCTTACGATATCCCCTTTTTCCAAAAAAAAAATCTTTGGTCCAACCCTAAATAAAATATCTCCTTTCCCAACAATTGCCGCCCAAGTTACATTATCTCTATCCTCTAACCATTATTTCTAAGCCCTTGGAAAAATTAGTTGATTTAAAATCTACAATTTTTTGGAATCCTCATACTTACTTGTATCTCTTCAATCTGGCTATTGTCCCGGTTTCTCAATGAAAATGCTTGTTTTAAGCTATCTACCGATGTTCAGATGGCTATGGATCAAGATTGAGTTATTTACTATTCTCATCCTTCTTGATTTTTCTGAAGCCTTTGCTACCATAAACCATTATCCTCTTCTTTCTAAACTCAAATCCTTTTCCTTCTGTGCACTTCGATGTTTCATTTATCTCAACCGGCTCTGTGCCACTCTATCGGAGGAAATAAATGCCAACAGCTCCTGGACCGTAGAAAATCTCAATATCAATAAGTCCCAGGCTATTGTGTTTGGTACCCTACTCCTTCTCCTTTTTTTTCTCTTTTAGCCATCTGTCAAAAACCTAGGGATCATCCTTGATCAAACCTTATCCTGTAAACTCCACATTTCCCAAATCTCCCGCCGCTGCTTCCCGTCCCCCATTCCGTCATGCAAGCCAACTCTTTTCGATCAGTACCCGCGAATTCCTTGTCTCATCCCTTGTGCTTACCCGTTCTGATTATGGCGGTTTGGTCCACGGTGGACTCACCAGCGGACTTGTTAACAGACTCATTTTTAGCTCACCGAAAAGATTTCATGTGCCTAATATGCATCGTGGTTGGAAATGGCTGTTTCCTTCCTACCTCAGGATACTTCATTGGCTCCTTCCTCTAACAAAAAATATCTTCCCATTTCTATATTTCTGATCTGTTAACATTGAAGTCTTCTACACACTCGCCCTTCTGATATCTACCCTCTTATTAAAATCCACCACTTTTAGGCGCTACTTCCTTATGCTTTTCTACAACTTCGAGAATTCCCTCCATCACTACACCCTTTCCAACTTTAATCCCGTCTTTTTGATTACCTCCTGGTCCCTCCAAATCAACACCGAGGATGGTTCATTTTCTGTTGTTTCAGAACGTTTAATTTTTGTTAATTTTCCCCTTCTTATTTAATTTAGTACATTTCTTT